TTACACTTTGAACTCCTCCCCTAGAACTTAACTGACCCTGGAGGAAAATGCTCATTTCACATGTACAATCTGGCGCTTAAGCCCTCTCTCTCTCTCTCTCTCTCTCTCTCTCTCTCTCTCTCTCTCTCTCTCCCTCTCTTTTGTCTCACCATCTCTCCTTTTCTCTCTACCTCCTCTCCACTCTGTGTCTGTGTGTGTGCGAGTGCATTCACTGTGTATCTGTACATATGTGAGCAGGCCGGAAGTCATTTGTTGTAATTGTCCTCAGATTTTGTCCATCTTGTTCTCTCACTTTGCCTGAAGCTTGCGAATCCAGTTACCCTGGCTAGGCAGTAAGTCCAAGGAATCTGCCTGTCTATGCCCCTTCAATACTTGGATTACTAGTATACACTAACATGGCTGGCTATTTTATGTGAATTTTAAATATAAAAAGTGGGTTGGTTCTTCATGGCTTCTAGCTTTGAGAAACCTACTACCATAATTAACAGGATGGAAAGAGAAGATTTTTATTGTAGTTGTAGTTAATTTATTTTAATTCTTTTTAAGTTCTCAATAGTCACCCCATTATTTATTACTTAAAATTATTTTGATAGTCTAAAGTTGACACATGAATTATAACTTCTTCAAAGGCTCAAAATTAGATACCCCCAACCTTATAAAACATTTAATACCCAACCACTTTTTTACTTTCTTAACAATGTAATCAATATATTAAACTAGTTTTTGTTTTGGGATTCTGTGACTTTTTTATGCTCCAGTTAGGTGCAATATCATAATTCTCAGTAACAGGTGAGGACTGTGGTGCTTTTCGACATATGTGAGACATGTGATCGGGAAAGAAGTCACCTTAAAGCCATCTTGAAGGTACTTAAATTGTAAGGCATATACATACATGTTGAAAAATTAGAACATAATTATTTTAAATTTCCCCCTATTTGCCCACACTTTACAGTCTTCCAAATCTTAGCTACTTTAACTTATTTGAACATGTTGTAGATGTTGGTTCCCATAAAAAGCATGCTATTCCGTTTCTTTGTATTTCATGCCATCCAATGTACTTCTACTTTGTATTAAAATTTGTGAGTAGGAGAATTGAATGGGGGAGATCCATTGTCCCCATCCTGTTCTTTCTCGGCAACCCATCTCAGATCCAGTGAAATATAATCGTTGAGCTACTAAAACTGTCTTCTTGCAACATTGCACCACAAGCTACGAATAGTAACATTGAAGACATAATCAGAGATGAGTGCAAATCTCTCTTTATTACTTAAGAAGTAGGATTACTGTGTAATATGAATTCATCACAAGGACAATGAATCAGATCTCTTAGGTGGAATCACAGCTTCATTATAATCATTATCTCAAAACTGAATTCTCGTCTTTTTCATTTCCTCTGTTGGCAGCAGCGGGCAATGGTCCAGTCTACGTTTGAACACAGACAGTAGCAAATGTTTTCATTCTGGATATGCTGGACATCTCCACAAAGAAAGCTACATGAACAACCAGTAGCAATCATTCCTGCATGGTTGAGTGAGAAAAAGCCATTAGAGACCTAGGACTTTAAAAGGAGAGTCCTTCACTGCTATCCCTAGGAAGCTCATGCACATATCTATGTTTTGTGGGACATAAAGTTAAATCAATTTTGAGAGTGATCATCAAGAAAAAAATCACTTAAAGGACTTGGTGTTCCACTGTCTTCCAATTGATGGCAAATCCACCTCTGTGCTGGCTCCTATTCTACCACTACAAGGGAATAGAATTGGAAAGAAAAGAAGGCCATATTCATGACCACGCAATTGAAGTCCAGGTAGACTGTCATATGAAGGAAAAAGTGACTGGAAAAACAAACACAGGGTCCATCAGTAGCATCCTTAAGGGAACTGGAAATCAGGAAGGTATGTCTAGGCAACTTGGATTATGGCTCAGCTCCATGGCAGGAAAAATCTGATATATTTGAAGACACAGGTATTAGAGTTTGATGGGGTGCACAGGGCTTCTTACTCAAAATTTCCCCTTATGAGTTACTCACCTGGTGGACAGGAAGCCGGTGTACCTGAAGCCTTGATAGTAGTGCAGGAGAGACTCTTAGTCATAGCAGAGGGAGGACGCTCTGTAGGGAAAAGAATAAGGGTTATTGCCATAATCTCTTGTTCTTACAGCTCCCTTTCTTAGTCATCCTCTATCTTGGAGATATCCCTGTTTTCACTAGTGGGACAATGACTAAGTTTTTAAGACTTAGTGTCTTCCATCTTGAATTTTGTAGGCAAATGGATGGAGCTAGAAAACATCATTTTGAGTGAGGTAACCCAGACCCAGAAAGACAATTATTACATGTACTTACTCATAAGTGGTTTTTAAACATAAAACAAAGAAAACCAGCCCACAAATCAAAATCCCAGAGAACCTAGACAACAATGCGGACTCTACGAGAGACATACATGGATTTAATCAACATGGAAAGTAGAAAAAGACAAGATCTCCTGAGTAAATTGGGAGCATGGGGATGTTGGAAGAGGATTGAAGGGGAGGGGAGAGACAAGGAGGAGAGAAGAGAAAAATGTAGAGCTCAATAAAAATCAATAAAAAAACAGTGTCTTCATATTTGAAGTCAAAATAGTAGTTGTGCTTACCTCTTACAATGGCAGTGAAAATTAAAATGATCTAAGTTTATATTATTTTTATATTAAGCTTCAAATGTGTTCATAAATTGCATAAAATAAACCTCCTAGGTCTATTGATTATCAATGAAAATGGAGTGTTTAACCATGAACTCAAAAAAGGATAATATTATAAAGAAATCCTGAACAGGGAATTAGGGCCAGAATTGATTAAATATGGGTGGAGTCTAGAAATAGGATAGAGATATAATTATAATTTAGGAATAGGAGATATGACCCCTGGTTAAGCTCAGCATTCTCCTACCCCATCAGTTACCTAGACTGCGAGCTTCCTTGAGCTTCTTCATGACAGAGTCTAAGGTCTCCTCGGTATTGACTGGGACCATCAGTTGAAGAAAGGAGATGATGATGAGCAGGGAGCAGGTCGTAGTCTTCATCCTTTTGAATGTTTGTGTCTTGGGGCTGGAAGAGAAAAGCAAAGATGATGAAATCACTGAGTTGTGGAGTAGCTAGCTGTGAGGGAAAGGAAGAGACAGTTAACACTCTGGAGAGAGTAAGGAGGAAGAACAAAGTAACCATGATGCAAACATTCTAGCTATTTGCAGAATCAAATAGTGTTCCCACAGAGAAGATTCACTCACGTAAACCACAAAGGTTTCCAAGGCCTGACCGAGCAAGGATGCTTTTAGACCCTGTGGGATTATCAGCCTGGCTACCCATAATATATAAAACACACAACCCTCCATCACTACCATGTAAATACTTCTTATACTTCCAAAGAACTTTGGCAGCTGAGGCATAGGATTTTTTTTTTTTCAATATCCTATGAATTGAAACATTCTCTTAAGGACATGTGGAGAGGTTCTTAAGCCTCATGGAGTAAACAAACTCCACATACCTGGGAAATCTGAAACTTGAGTGTTACCAAAGTGTTTCCAAAATGCCCCTACCTAGTGTTACAGGAGCAACTAACCAGAAGGAGTCTGTGACCAGTTGAGCTGCCAAGAGGAGAGCCTCCTACCTGTTTAGCTATTCCTTTAGTAATCTGGAAAAAAAATCTTTTAACAGGCATTTGAAAAGGGCCAGATGTACTAATAACCTCAGGAAAAGGATATAAATATGTTTTTCCACAGGACACACACACACAAAAAAAAACCAATCTAAATCCCAGACAGACTTATTCAACCTTTTCACCAAAAATCCTCTATCAATGCTCCCAAAAGACAAAAAATAAAAAA